GCGGGGTCACTTGTTAGGACAGTTAAAATCGAAAACAACCCTTGATATGTTATGTAAAACCACATTGGGTGATCTCTAGGTAACGACAAACTTCGGAAAAAGTCTACTTTACTTGACATCCCGCGGAAGTAGAAAATTTAAAAAGTCAACCTGATTTGAGCAGTAAGCACTGTAATATCGAAAACTAGACAGGGTTTAAATTTCCGAAAATTGTTTCATACACTTTTTAATTCAGTATACTAATACAGTAGTACACGTATTTCGGGTGTAAAAAATTTGAGCGTCATTCGTTTGGGCGAATAACCCAAAATTAACTTGAGTAAAGAATATATCATTTGGGCGAGAAATTAACCGATCGTTTAGGCGAATTTATAAATTATTGAATAATAGGGAAGTAATATTACGTAGTTATACAATAGTTTTTATAATATTTACTATTTAGGTACTACAGCTAAATATTATTATTATATCGTTTCGGCTGATTGGTCAATACAGATAGTGAACTATAATTTGTTAGATTGTACTAATACGGAGACAAAACATTTTACTCAATATTATATTACATAAAAATACTAAAGAAAAACAAGACTATACAATTTTTCTGGTTGTTTAGAATTAAAGTACCTACATAATGTTATTATGAATAAACCACAGTAAAACATTTTTTTAGAAAATAAAAAGATAGTAGATACCTACACATATATTTTGCATGTTGATTCTGTTAATTTACGAATTTACCTATCAGGTATATTAAGTGGAAGTTAATTATAAGCTTTTATTTAAGTCTAAAAACGCATTATTAAATATTATTGAATAGGTAATAATTGTAATAACCTTTCTTATTAAATACAAAAATCGTAACATTAGTAATTTAAATTATTCACTTTTACTGTGTTATACTGTTATATAAGTACTTGGAGTTTGGACTATTATAAATGTGTAAACATAAACTGTTCAAAAATAAAAATAAATTTGATATCGATGTATAATGTATATACAGTATACACTACGAATAAAGTTTTATAAATTTCATATCTCGCCAAACGTGTAGTTATGTTAAAATAGTAATACATAATAATATTATGTTGGCTAAAATTAAATATTTGGTAAATTGGTAAGTGGGCCGGTATACTTTGTATTTTCCCTGGCCGAAATCTCTCCCCAATCCGCCCCTGTATACCTAGTAGTCATAGCTTTATAAGCTATTTACTGTCGGTTAATTATTGCCGTCCTTCATTTTTGAAAATATATTCTTTAAACCACTCATTTAATTTTCTTGACAGTCAACTTATTATTAAACTGATCGCATCAAGGATCATCCAAATACATCAAAGTACATTATTTACGTACGTAGCTTTAATTTATACTTAATGATTGACTATTGTTATTACTTATTATTATTATCATTTAACTCTCGGTAGGTAAATAGCTAAACCATTGGCTTGTGTATTTTTTTACGTTCCTATCTTACAATTATTTTTAAATTATAATTTATAATTGTACTTATACATAAAATAAACTTAAACTAATTTGAACAAATTAATATTTTTGGTAATTAATATCACTTTGGCGGTATAAGTGACTCGATAAGGTGTTCTGGTATGTCGCAGTTTTGCCGGGTTCTTAGGTGTCCCTCCGGTCTCTGCGTTCCATGAATATATTTTTGGTGGATCTCTACGTGGTTGAAGGGAAATTTGTATTTTCCACAAAAAAAAAATATGGAATTTGCACCACCACAGGTTATTAAAAATAGTGTTCGTAATTTGCATCAAAATGCGTATCTGTCCAGTAATCGATTATTTCGTCGGTACGCTCATCATCGGTTTACATAGAAACAAGACGGACTCAGATAAAAATAGATTTTAGATTCTGAGTGGAACGATGAATGTATTGATTTTACAATGATGTGTGTTTTTTAATTTTTTAATTTTTTAAATTTTTTTGTGTCTGTGTACACGATAAGTAGTCGAAATAATGCTTCGATTTTCAACTTCAGTATCTTGTTCGATTGGAAAGTGAATATTGTTGGTGCATTGGGATTTGGGAAGGTCAAAATTTCTCAGTAGTTTTCAAAAGCGATGGGAAAAACAAAAGAAAAATTAAGGAAAAATGGGAATTTTTAAGCAAAATCTGTTTTCGAGAAAATCGATTTTGGTTTTTGGTGTAACTTTAAAACAAATGACCGTAGTAACATGAAATTTTCAGTGGTTGTTTATATTTGCATTTTCTATACACGATAACATTTTCAAAATATTTTGATTTATTTTGAACTGTTTAGGGACATTTTCAGTTTCCAATTTTTTTAGTTTTTTTTTTTTTTATGAATATTAATAAAAATTTATTTGTCGAGTAAAAATACTTGAACATTTAATACAAGGCTCCTACTATATTGTTTCAAAGACAGATGAAAAATATTAAAAATTGTTAGTCACAGTTTTTTTTTTTTTAAGAATTTAAAGTTCAAAAAATGACAAAATATGGAAAAAATCACGAAAATTTGCAAATTATTTCGAGTTAGAAATTCATAAAAATGTTTCTTTTTAAATCTAAGATATGAAAATGTAATACAAGATTCCTTATAAGATTTCATACATTTATCAAAAAAAAAAATTCTATAAGAAAGTCAAATTAAATTTTTATAAGCGTTTGAAATTCAAATTTTTACAACATTGGATATTTACTCGATTTCTCATGTGGTGATTTCCTTATTTTGTTGTAATTCAAAAATGAATTACTATAGATACATGAAAATTTCACTCAATGTTTAAATTAGCATTTCCTATACACCATACAATTTTGAAAATATTTTGACTCTTTTTGAGCCGCTTACGGACATTTTCAGTTTTCAATTTTTTTAGTTTTTTTTTTCTATAAATATCAATAAAGTTTTATCTGTTGGGCCAAAAAGTGTAAAAAGTTAATACAAGGCTCCTGATTTATTGTTACAATAGCAATTGAAATATATTAAAAATACATAGGCACAGTTTTTTTTTATAAGCATTTATAGATCAAATTTTGACAAAATTTATCAAAATCTCGAAAATTATCAATCATTGTAATTAATAAATTATAAAATATTCAGTTTTTATAGCTATAGATTGAAAATTTAAAACAAAGGTTTTCATAAATAGTTCATACTGTAACCAAAAAATCTAAAAAATATATGAACACAGTTATTTTTTACAGACATTTTAAATTCAAATTTGGACGAAATTACATATTAAAAAAACTAGAATAACTATTTTAGTTATTTTGTTGTGATTGAATAATATTATTCGTGGGTACTTGAAACTTCTAAAGAGTACTATTATATATCTATGATAGTATTACGGTTTTTGTTGATGTATAACGCGTTATAAGTACCTAATGGATATTGTGATATGATTAATTTGGAATTTAGTATAGGTACCTATTATAGGTCAATTTTTTGTTTAATATCATAGATATGTATATAATATATATGTCTTATACCTAGACTGACATACAGTCTCCGCTCAGAATCGTTTTTCTTATACAATGATATTATATCGTTGAATTCAAATTTAATATCATCCATTATACAGTGACCCACTTGTAACCTACTGTACAGCAGAGCGACACCCACTTGCCCACCATTTTTTTTATTGAAGTTTGACATCCGATCCGTGGTAATCGCGTCGTTTCACAGTGTCATATTAGGTATTACATATTTACATTTATTATTTTTTTACAAACATAATGCATTTATTATATTATTAATAATTTTAATACTTTACATGTTTTTTTTGTATATTATTGTTGGTGGTAGTCAATGCTGACGTGCCGTAGAACGGTGTGAATATGTTAGTGAAATATTTACTTAGTACCTAAAATGGAATATTCTGTGTTATTATCTTCTCATATCTTTATATGTATATTTTTATTCAAAACGTATACGTATAATCGAAAGAATAATCGATTTGAATTTTGGTGTAAATTACAATATTCATATTTGTAATTTCACTACCTGTCACCTGAGATGCTGCAAATTTCACATCATTATTTTGGTGAAAATTACAAACACATTTCAAATGTTGGTGCCCATTACAGATGTTGAATATATTTTGGGTCAATTTTCATGCAAATTGACTACGCTAATTTGACGCTCTGTTGGCGGCTGATTTATATAATTGTTACCTATGTAAGTACCAAGTAACTACTACAATTTACAACATAGGGTTAATTATAGGAATGATTTTTTTTATTTCAATTGCCTATACTCTACAGCATATTTTATAAGCTCAATTAAATTACTATCTATAGTAATCTTACTAGTATCTTACTGTTTTATAGCAATACAAAACGTTCAGTTTAACTTGATAAATAAAATGTTTATTACAGAGCTTACAATTTGTATTCAAAAAATGAAGGTGAAATAATTATATATTATTATCTAAATATGAAATAGATAGGTGAGATTTTAAATTTTATAGTTAGCTTCATTTTCATAGTAGTCAATTTTAGAATATTATGTTTCCATATAGATGTGCAAAATTACATAAAATATAAACAACAGAAAGATATTATACTGTGATAAGTAAGTGATGGCCTTAACATTGAACGTGAAGTAAAACGTAGTACTATTACAGAGGAGATTTCAGGACAAAAATATATATTCATAGGAAATAAATTCAACTCAATAATTATTTGTATATCCATATAGATAATAATTTAATAATTTAATTTATATTTTTCATATAAATAACATTTAATAACTTAATAAAAACACTAGGTTTTTCAAATAAATAATTTGCAAGTCATCAATTTGGTATTGAGACGAGCTAATAATAGTTATAGTTTTATAAAAAAATAATAACAAGTCAGCAGAAAGTGGGCACTATATGTGAGAATCTCGTTAGCGTCGATCACTTAAGACATTTTTGTCGAGCTACTCTAGTGCATACTGACTGTGACGTGCATTAAATTTGGAATAACAACATTTTTGGTTAGGAAACTTAAAACAAATACAACGATCCAACGAACTACATAGGGAATATGTCTGAGTACGCGGTCTTTTGCAATGCTTTATTAACAATATCTTGTGCAATAGCCCCAACTGCTTCTTCGAATGCTGGTTTCAATTCTTCAAGAAGAACTTCCCAGTTTTCGTTCAGGATGGTGTTCATGCTATCTCCTGTTAAACAATCAATAATAACGAAGTTAGTTAATTCAAGAAAAAAAAAATTAACGATTTTATACAATGTGATGCAACAGGTATAAGGTGTGTCACAAAATATCATAATAAACTTACCTAATTGTTTGTTTCCATTGAAAAGGTTTTCCAACTTGACATTCAGTTTCTTGACACTCACCAACCGAAGTTCAAATTTGTTGATTTGGACGAAGGTCTTGCCGTTCTTCTGGCTTGGGGATCCGGACACTTCTTTCAATTCCAATACGGGATCGTCTGCACAAAACATTACAATTATAAAAATTAGGAACATAGGAGAACTTGCAAAAAAAAAAATGAACTTATGGAAAATTGTATAATATGTAGTAAGGTAAAAACGTACGTAAGACAATGTTGCACGGTCCGTTACCGGTGATCGGCAAAACGAGCACCTTTCCGTTGACCGTGTATTGTCCACTGATCTCGAGTGGCTTTGCGAAACCAATCTTGCCAGTGAGCTTGTAATTGTCAACATCGATTTTCAAGGAATCGATCACAGTGCTGGTCAAACCCATGATCTTGACGTCCTTAAGCTTCAGGTCAATGCTGACTGATTTGCTGGAGCCTTTGCCTTGGTCGATTTCCAAAGACGGTAGCTCGAACGGTTCGATGGCCGGAATCCTCAGTTTCGAGTATCCTTCGGCCAAATCGGGAATGACTGATTGGATGGAGGTCTTCAAACATTTGTCAAGGTTTGGATCACTTCTCTTGCATAAATTGAAAGATATTTCTGTAACGAAATTATAAAAACAATTATTATAGGTAATCATATTGTTAGGTTTTAATAATGATATCATTCTGCGTATAACATATTTGATAACAAGTCGATTTCAGTGGCATATACTAGGGGGGCGTGGGGGTCAGATCTCCTCCCATTGGCTTTAGAGAGGATAATCTTCAATATTGTGTTTGATATGAATTCTGAATAAATTCAAATTATATTAATTGTTCCTTATTGTTAAATATTTTACTAACTAAGCAAAACGTTTTGAAAGGGTGGGGATTTGTAAATTTTCCCTCCCATTTAGCTATGTCGTTTTCTTTCCCCCATCTTAAAGAAATCATGTCTACGCCACTGATCGATTTAGTAAACCTTATTGATATTAGCTATTAATTATAAAGTATTTATAGATATTTTGTTGTATAGTTATTGGATAATAATATAATGTCGGATATTGTATAAAATATTTACTTTGTGGACAATAAATATTATATCAAACCAAATTACGTCCTTAAAAATAAAAAACGACAATCCGACCTAGTCTATTCTATGCACGGAATACCTAAACTGTTTTAACCTTGGATATTTGCCACCATCTTTATTGTTTGTGTTTTAAACCTTCCGGAATAAATCAATATTATTTGGAGTGATGCCGAAGTTAATAATTAAGACTGATCGTGTGAAATTACTTACTCCACATTAACATACATACAATTATACAAATGTACTATATACACACCTTTAATCAATAATAGTTTAATCATATATCTATTAATGATGGATTTTGGCGACACTTATTAATATTGACATAAACTATTAATATTTTAATCAAAATACATATTTGCATATATAATGGATATTGGATAAGATTGAAGTCAAAAATATTAATTATTAATTAATAATATAGGTAGCATAATATAAAACCCGTGTTCTAACAATCTTAAGTTTAATATGCAACAATACTTTATAGAATTTTGCTACCTATACCTGATAAACTTTTATAAAGCATTTCTCAATGTAAAATATAAATCTTGAACTACCATAAAAAATGATGTCAAAAAAGTAAGAACATATAAATTATTTATGGAACAAACAAAGTTTTGATCCTAAAATGTAATAAATACAATTATTTATGAAATATTCAATTTAATGCTATTTATACTTTGCTATTTGTGTCCCAATTGTGGCCAAATTAATATATGTATAAAAATCTTAAAGTTGATTATGACGAAAAACCATATGACCATATTATGAGCAACTATAAATATATGCGTATTTATTTTTAAAATGAGAAAGCTAACATAAATAATGCTGTTAAGTTAAAATACCATATTTTTAATTTATTTTTAAGTAAAATTACCAGGTATAAAATAACATTTCAATAAAATAGACATTTAAGCTACGCATAAAAAAATTATAGTTATTTTCAAATTCTTTAGTTGCAGTACTTTTCAAATTGTGTTTGATAATAAAATATAAATTAACGATGTTGATTAAGATTTAAGACACATCCATATTTTGCATTATTTAAAAGTAAACACATGAAATGAGACTACACTTGAATACGCCTGCTACAAACTCTATAGGGTATGAAAATATGAAAGTACTTACGTTTTTTCGGTGTGGGTGCAGCGGTTACAGAAGCAACAACGGCCAATAACAAAGCAGATACGATCAGCAACGATTTTGCCATTTTTAAAATTGGAAATATTTAGATTGTAAAATAAAAAATAAAAAATTCCAAACAAAACCGATATCGGATCGTAAAAGTGCAAATTTGTTTTGGGTTATTTGTAAGTTTTGAAAAAACTAAGGAAAATCTTAATTCCCGAAGTTACTTCTGAAACTGAAACCGTCGAAGTGTGATACCGCAACCCTGTGTTCGGATACCTTTTATACTCACGCGGTTGTCCGTGTTGACCTCCCCGCAACTGGTTTCAGTTACTGATAATATACTATTGTTTTTTTCCTCCATTTTAATGATGAATAACACTGCAATTGCTAAATTATAAATTGCACATCATTGTAGCTTCATAATTTATCCATCAAAAATCTACTAAATAAACCCAAAAAATGTAACCAACTTTAAATGGGTAGATAAACTGTGGTTATAAGTTCATTATTCGGTATTCAAACTATTTATGAATAGTTGAAAATAGTTATTCAAAAAAACCAAGCATTTAATATAGGTAAATACTAATATTATTACATTTTATGAACATGCAATTGAGTTATTAATGGTTTTTGTGTAACTTGTTACTTGTTTCGAGTACAGTTAGATTTTTGATCGACATGTATTAAAATTACCAGTATCATATAGTGTTCATTTTAAGAAAATACGTGAAAGAACATTAATTTAAACTGCTGACGCTTAATATTTTCAAACTAATAATGGTGCCTATGTGCAATTAAACAAATACACTACAATAGACAATTTCTTTAAATCTCCATTAAGAATGTTTCAAAATAATAAAATCATTTCTTTGGTTGAATTAGAAGTCATTAACCTCACATTATTAGTAGGTAGGTAAATAATAGCTTTACAGAATGTCATAACATTTTAGAGAGTAGGTATAGGTATACCTAATTATTATTATTATAATTATACTATTAATATTATTATATTATATATTATTATTGTAAGTATAGGTATCAAACTATGGACTAGACCATATTTACTGAATTAAATAAAATAAATAATAAAAATATCAATTCTGTTCTTTTGAGAAATGTAATTTTAAAAAGAGAAACAATATTAATTATGATTTTACAATGTTTTTTTATATTCTAAGAGTGATGTATAAAACGTGTATTATATGTCTTACAATGATAGGTATTTATTTTTTTTAAATAACGCTTTATAAAAGATTCAATTTTCAGTACATTGAAGGTGGTTTCTGTAGATAGCAATAATTGAATCTCATTTATACTTTTATTTGGGTGGAAGGTCCCAGATAAAAGTATTTTCCAATATTTTTCAAAATAATATAGAAAGACAAAAAACAAAATTATGGAAAAACAGGGATGTTTACAAAACTAATTAAATAATGAATTTTTATAGATCCATGCGATTTTTGCCAATAATTGATATTTTAATTTTATAGACAATAGACATGATACAATTTTTAAAATATTTTGACTGTTTTTGAACTATTTTAGATATTTTTTAATACTTATACATTGACAAAATCTTTATCTCTGGCAAAATGCATGACAATGTAATGCAAGGTTCCTCATATGTTGTTTTTATAGCAATTATGAAATCCGAAAAAAAAAAATTTCCCACAATTTTTGAAGTAACCTACATTTTGTTGTAATTCGTCAAAGTTACATTGCATATTATTTTTTTGTAAAAAAACATAAAACTATTAATTTGTATAAATAAGACATGCGAATATAATTCGAGATTCCTGATCATTAATTTTGTTCTTGCTATAGTTAAAAAAAAAGTTTAGAGTAACGCAACATCAATATTTTATGAGCGTTTGAAATTTAAATTGTGATGAAATTAGATACCTATTAAAAATTAAATTAACAATATTTTTCCTCAAACGATTAATGATATTTTCTTGTAGTTCAAAAAATAACAAAAATCATAGATACATGAAACGTTACACAATTACTTAAATTATTATTTTCTATGCACAATTAAAATATTAAAAAATATGAAATATTCAGATACATTTTATTTACAGACATGTTAAATATTTGATTTTTCGGTACATATTGATAAAAAATAAAATAGAATATTTATCATAAGTTGTACTTATAAAAATATAAATATAAGGAAAATTCATAGGAACATTTTTTTTTTACATTGCAATTTTTAAAATATTTAGATTAATTTTAGCCATTTGCAACGAACCAATGCACACCGTTCCATAATGATCGTTGTATTGACTTATAAGTTAATAATAACTATATATTATATTATTATGATACATAATAATATAATAAATACAAAGTTTTTGGAAAAATATTTTCATTGTACTGTACCTATTCGGAATAGGCTATTCCCTACTAATACAAAAACAAATTAAGTACTTAATTTAAATAAATTATAAAATATCCCTAGGAGGCTAGGAATAGAGGACATAATGTTATTATTTTGAACTTAATTTGACTATTGTTTACTTAATAGTGCTTAAACTTAAATTTTACGTAAGATTGAATTTTTTAATGTGAATGTATTTCAAGAAATACAAATACCTAGGTATTGAATAATTTTAAATGTTGAAAAAGTGTTAATTTTTTATAGAACATCTCTATTTTTTATTTATTAAACAAATAATTGCACAATCCATAAATAGGCTAGGTTTTTACCTGAAAATTATATATAATTCTATTCATTTGAAAAACTAAAAATAATATATATATTTTATATTTTTATCGTTGATTTTTATTGCAATTTTAACTTTAATCTCAGATATCGGAATAAACTGATGTTGTATAATACATTTTCTTTCTCTGTTTCACATTTGAACCTATATCAAGGTTTTTGATTTCATACTATATATTTTATTTAATATATATTTATATATTTAAATTAAATCAAAAATTCACTACGAAAATATAGTAGGTTGTTGTAGGTACTTTTTAAATGTTATTTTATTTAGTTACCCAAATATCAACAATTTATTTTCCTTATTTTCTTATATAATTTATAGTTTTGTAAAATAAATATTAAATAGGTAACTATTTTATAAATAATATTGATAATGAGGGGACGTAATGCTAACGCAGTCCACCTTCCGATTCTCGACACCATGGGAAGAACAAAAAATGTAATAATAATATTGATAATAAGCAATTGTTACGATGAAAACCTCGTAAGTACTAAGTAGTCTTATCATATTTTACAGATGATATTTCACAAATGTAATATATATCAATATTTGTGATTTATCTTTATATTATATAAAAATGAATGTATGTGTGTGTGGGTTTACGAAGGGTACGCAACGAGATCCACTATGTGGAAAATGAGCAGCGTCGTGAGATCCTTTTTCGTATCGAGATCCGAAATGCCGGATCTCATAACGTTTGTATCAAATATAGGACCCCGATGTGATATATTACTATGTCCACTGAAAATCGGTCGGATCTCATAAAGCATAGACAATAAGAATTGTGTGTGTGAGCTAACGCTGGTGGATTCCTCGCAGAATGCGCCACTGTCGAGTGTGTGTATATAAAATATTTAATTGTGCACACTCTTCAATAGAAAAATACTGATTATCCGAGATCCAGTTATCGGCAACGTCGCTATTTCCTACATGGATCTCGTACAATCGGGTAATAACTGCCTATAAAAATAATAATTATGCTTTTAATTTTCATAGGTGGTAGAGACGAATAGTGATTAATCAGTTACCGATAATTTAAACTCTAGCGGATTTTGCCATGCTTGTATATTTTATATTCGGCGTTCGTCGTAAAATGATTTAAAAAATGAATCAATTCACAAAAAAAAACATGAGTGACGAAATTTTTGGGGGACAAGAGGAGACTTGCCTTCCATGAAACTTTTTTGGAGGACAATAGCATTATTTTTCCCCCAACCCCAGATATTCCTAACATTTTATTATTTAACTCTATTAACTAATTAACTAATTAACTCTATTTATTTTTAACATTTATTACTTATCAAGGTTGTAGCCAGGGGGGGGGTCAGACCCCCACCGCCAACAACACATTTTTATAAGCCTATATACGTATTAAACTTGTTAGTCAAGATACATATATATTATACTCAAAATACCCCCCCCCCCCAAAAAAAAAAAAAAAATGTTTGCAGGCCACGGCCACGGCCTTGGTACTTATTATTATTTATCAATAAGGGTACCTACAGTTTGTTATACATAAACTATATTGAAGTATATTTAAAATATTTGTGTATGTATGGGTCAGAGTTTGGATTTTGATGAATAAATTATTTTCCCCTCAGTTTTTATCCAGTTATGCCACCGACTTAACTACTTTGTGTGAGTGAGAAATTGAATACGATAATTATGTTTAAACTAACACAACCTTCTAACAAAATATGTAGGTATAATACACAAAATGTACACTGCTATAGTTCTCGTAATGTGCTATTTTACATTTGGTATTTTGGTGTTATTTTCATCCTAAAAAAAATTAATTTATATAATGTGAATCTCGCAGAGTACTTTAAATACCTAGCGTGTGGTTGTCAATAATAATATAATGATATATTTATAGGGATCTCGTAACGAAATTCGAAAAATAAATCAATATATATAATGTGGATCTCGCACAGAAGCTTAACTACCTAGTGAGTGTGTGTGAGATTGTTAATATGATATATTTATACGGATCTCGTAACGAATTGGATTCAATAGATGTAATGTGGATCTCGCAGAGTACTTAAACTACCTTGTGTGTGTGGTTGTTAATAATAATATCATGATATATTTATACGGATCTCGTAACGAAATTCGAAAAATAAATCAATATATTATATAATGTGGATCTCGCACAGAAGCTTAACTGCCTAGTGTGTGTGTGTGATATTGTTAATTTGTTATTTTTAAACGGATCTCGTAACGAATTGGATTCAATATATATAATGTGGATCTCGCAGAGTACTTTAATTACCTAACGTGTGGTTGTCAATAATAATATAATGATATATTTATATGGATCTCGTAACGAAATTCGAAAAATAAATCA